AGTATTATCAAGAAAGAAAAAAAGCAAGTAAATAAAAAATTAAAATAGTTTTCTTTCTAAATTAAAAAATATTCATTGGTTAATATAAATAAATAAATTAATTAATAAATAAAGGTTTCTAAAATGTGACAATATTTCTGGAAACATAAAGAAAGCATACAAGAAAGGAAGGAAGTTTTACGGTTAAATGTGAAAAAGGTTTTTGATCAAGAGATAGAAAGATTGAAAGAAAGACAGAGAGAAAGATTCTCTATAGTGCAAGAATATTTTCTGAAGAATAGAAAGCAAGTAGGCAAATAAGAAAAATGTTTTATGCATAAATGAAAAAAGGTCTTTGAAACATAAAAAATGAAAGTAAAAATAAAAATAAAAAACAAGCATGAAGGAAGCTAAGTTGCATGCATAAATGCGAAAAGGGCATTTCTTTCTGTTGGTTAAAAAGAAGAAAAAGAAATGAATGAATGGATGGATGGATGGATGAAAGGAAGGGTTGGAAGGAGAGAGGAATGAAGGAAAGAAAGAAGGAAGGAAGGATGGATGGATGGATTGATGGATAAATGGGGGGAAGAATGGAGGGAAGGAAGGAAGGATGGATGAAAGAAAGAAAGAAAGAAAGAAAGAAAAGGAAGCAGAAAGGAAGGAAGGAAGGAAGGAAGGATAGATAGATAGATGGAAAGATGGAAGGATGGCTGAAAGGAAGGATAGAGAGATGGATGGAAAGAAAGAGGGAAGGAAGGAAAGAAGGATGGCTGGTAGGAAGGAAGGAAGGAAGGAAGGAAGGAAGGAAGGAAGGAATGCAGGAAGGATAGATAGATAGATGGAAAGATGGAAGGATGGCTGAAAGGAAGGATAGTGAGATGGATGGAAAGAAAGAGGGAAGGAAGGAAAGAAGGATGGCTGGTATGAAGGAAGGAAGGAAGGAAGGAAGGAAGGAAGGAAGGAAGGAAGGATGGCTGGAAGGAAGGAAGGAAGGTTGATAGAATGGATGGAATGAAGGATGCATGGATGTATGGATAGATGGAAAGAAGGAAGGATAGATAGATGGATGGAAGAATAGAAGGATGGCTGAAGGTAAGGATAGATAGATGGATGGATGGAATGAAGGAGGGAACGATGGCTGGAAGGAATGAAGGATGGCTAGTAGGAAGGAAGGGTGGATGGATGGAAGTAAGGATAGATAGATGGATGGATGGAATGAAGGAGGGAACGATGGCTGGAAGGAATGAAGCATGGCTAGTAGGAAGGAAGGGTGGATGGATGGAAGTAAGGAAGGAAGGATAGATAGATAGATGGACGGATGAATGGATGGGTGGATGAAAAGAAGGAAGGAAGGAAGGAAGGAAGGAAGGAAGGAAGGAAGGAAGGAAGGAAAATGGATGGATGGAAGGATGGGGAGGAAAGATAGTATGACGACTGGAAGGAAGGATGTCTGAAAGGAGGGAAGGAAGGATGGATGGATAGATGGATAGAAGGAAAGAATGATAGAAGGAAGGATGAATGGATGAATTGATGGATGAATAGATGGCTCGATGGAAGGATGGATATAAGGATGGAAGAAAGGGAAGTTGGAAGGATGGATGGAAATAAGGATGAATACATCAATGGATGGAAGGAAAGATGGAATGAATGAATGAATGAATGAAAGAAGAAAGGATGGAGGGAGGGAGGGAGGGAGGGAAGGATGAAAGGAAGGGAGGAAGAATGGAAGGAAGGATGGCTGGAAAGCAAGGGTATCTAGAAAGGAAGAAGTAAATGAATGAATTAAGGATGGATGGATGGATAGAAAGAAGGATGGCTTCAAATAATTAAGGATGGCTGGAAGGAAGGAAATAAGTAAATAAGGTAGAATGGAAAGAAGGAAAGTGATAAAGAATGAAATATATTTATATATTTTATAGAAAATAGTTTCTTGCCAATAAAAATGAAGCAAAGTAGCAAAAGAAAAAAAAGTTTTATATGAAGCAGAAAACAAAAAGTGGTTGATGAGTAACACGCAAAAAAAAAGGAAAGGATATTGTAGTAAACGCGTTGAAAAGACAGAATAGTTAATAAGGAGTAGATAGAACAAAATATCAAGAAATATAAACTGAAACAAAAATAGATCAAAAGAAAAAAATAGAAAGAAAAAAGTAGAACAGAAAATAACTACGGATATCTTAAATAAATAAGTAAATAAAAAGAACGTATTTCAGAAAAAAATGCGCACAGCCCTCTTCAGGAAACAACGTTCAACATTTTTCTTTTTCTTTGTTTCGTCGTTGTTTTTGCCAGTATATATGAGTGTAAATTGAATTCGTGTGGAAATATAATGGCGTATAATTTCTAATGTGCTCACGTGATGGTTGGTTAAACATAGAGTGTTTCTGCAGCTGGAGTTCATCTAAGATACTTACGTAAATCGGGGAAAGGGAATACGTTTGTATGCGCACGTAAATAGAAAGGTGAAAAAGAAAACACGCTTCTCTCTATCCATGTAAATTATTGTGGAACAGACGCGCATTCAAAAGAAAAAGGTGTTGCCATGATGTAATAAACGGAACGAAATTTTTTTTTATGTACATCGATCCTTCAGTAAGCATTAACTTTGCCAAACACATATGTATGTATCAATAAAAATTCCTTCCCCGACAATGTACCATACTGATTAAAAATTAGGTTCGTACATCTGAATATTATATAGTTAACATTTCACGTACCTTTTCGACTGAATTTATATGAAGCTGGATTGTTTTCGAACGATTCTGCAAATAAATAATATTCAAATATGTAATAAATAGAGGTATTAACAAAATGAGATCTAAGTACGCCACAAGGATCTGATGGAACTATTCAGCAACCTTGATATATTTGGGAAAGATATTATAATAATCAAGAACCTATAGTGACAGCAAACGGCCTGCAAGCGCAGTGAGAATGAGTTCAGTGAATTCAACCTATAGAACGAGGAAAATCTGAGAGAATTGGAAATCCTACCAGGATTCCGCACTGGCGGCCACAATCTTAACAACGGAAGACAGTTCTGACAGCAAACAGGGAAAATAAATTACAAAAAAAACCCTACAGAAGGTAGCGGAGGAGAGTGAGTAGAAGGGACTAAACATAAACTACAAGAAAATATAATGGATGGTCAGCAGTAAAAGGATGACCTCGAAATGCGATTTACAGGTCGGGGTCACTAAAATCAAACATGTGCGAAAGTTTAAATATCTGGGAATTGTTTTAACGAGGAAAAGCAAATGGACGCTATATCCGTAGATGTTTTGGGATTGCGAAGGACGCATTCCAAGAAGCTGGGCAAAGTATTGCGAGACAAGAGGATTTCTTTGGTAACAAAGAAAATAGTACTGAGCTGCTATGTGACATCTGTCCTTCATTACGCCAACGAATGTTGGAAGTCTCCTCAAAGATAAAGAAAAGACACAAGGCAACGGAGATATGGTTCTGCAAGAGGAATGCTAAGGATATCATAGACCGTGCGTGTGAGCAGCGATGGAGTTTTGGAGAGGATGCACTCAAGGAGGATGCTAATACTTAACATCAGGAAGACGCAGATAAAAATTTTTGATACTCGCAGGTCGAATAGATTGAAAGCGAGACAAAGGAAAGCAACTCATGACATAATTGGCGGGCAAGTGAGTGAAAGAACGTGAACTGGGGAAGATGGAGGAATAGAAGGAAATGGAGAGCCATGATCGCCTAGGTCCTGAAGGAACACGGCACATAAAAAGAAAAGAATGTCGAACTGAACCCTTTATTTCGCTCGCTAGGGTAGACCATGTCTAAGGATGTTAGTTATCAGTTAATTTCCCTCTCCAAATTCTTAAACAGGTATTGAACTCACAACTCTTTGGATCCTGTTACTGGATATAACCAACGCCATTATTCACTGTGCAATGTGTCAAGGACATCTGTGTATCAATTCCTGGGACTTATAAGCTTATAAAGCAGTCGAGAACTTGGACAGGTGAATTAAGAGGCGATAACTGATAAATGACATCCATTATACATGGTACGTGGAACTAGAACAGTCTACTCCAGCGATCGAAATAAAGGCTTCAATTCGACATTCCAACCACCTAAAGAAGGCCAGAGCATACATCGGCAGAAACGTTGTGATAAATATAGCAACAAAGATGAGAACAATAGTCCGAGTAATGTAAATAGTGCACATAATACCTCATCTCAGAAATATAGACAGATACAAAAAGAAAAGAGTATTGCTGAGTAGTTCAGAGAGCCAAATAATGACATAAATTAAATAAAGGATAATAAAAAGAATACTACAGGCCTGTGCTTCTAGCGTTAAATACCGAGTTCAATTGACAAAACAAAATATTAGCCATAAACACTTTCGCTGTCCCTGTGGTGCGATACAGTTTCAACATCCTTAGCCGTACCATAGTTGACATGCGAATGGATGTGAATGTTTCTCACTTGCCATCGAATACATAGCTGACATTGATCGTCTATGTCCAGATCCGAAGGAGACAAAAGATTATTTCAACAAGAATTGTTTTACTAAACCACAACTGGTTGGACGTTTTGTTTTAATTCAGTTCTGGCTTCAAATTTGTTGCATCGTCCCAACCTGCTCGAAAATACGTCAGGAAATTGGATATATAATTTTTCCTTTAACTTTATTGTATCTGATGGTTCAACCTCTAACTTTTTGCGAAAAGAGCTGATAGGGTAGGTCCCAAACGTTGAACTTTTGCATCCAGTCGATTTTCAGTATCTTTTATGACGTATATCTTAAGTTTTTTTGCTTTCCCTTGAAATTTAACATTCACGATTATTTCTCCTTGGAATTTTATTCGCTTGCTTGTAACCAACTTTGCAATTTTTGGTGTATCTAACATGGTTGGTCTGTTAAGTTTTCTCCATGTCTGTAGGTTAATTATCGTGAGGTCGGAACCCGAATCCAGTTGCAATTTTATCTTTTTATTTAAAATTTCATGTTCCACATATATTCCTTATGTTGGTGTTGTCTTCGTTATGCATCCTAGTAGCTCTTATTCTACTAGTATCTTTTCAATTCCTACATTGAGATGCCTTGTGGCCCTTTTTTCCACACTCAAGACAGTTTTTATATCTAAAACGGCAATGCTTGTTCCAATGTAGTCCTCCACATCGATAACATGCTGATGGTGAGGGGGGGATTATATTTGCTTCGATTTTCGTCATAATTTGTCCTGTATGTTGTACTTTTTCTCTTATTATAGAATTTTTGTTTTTCTTTCTGTGGAGGGTGAGAATCTTTTTTCATTTTTACAGAATTTTTGTTTTCTTTCCGGGGAGGGTGAAGAATGTAGACTTTTGTTTAACTTACGTATATGAGATACAGCTGACTTCTCGTCTTTCTTTATACTCAGACATCTCTGGCAATCTTCCGATAATTGTTGTCTCGGTTCATTTTGTAATTTTGAAAGCATTTTTTGCGCATTTCGCTATCTTTAGTTGAAACTAACCCTTGAACAAAGATGAGACACTTGAAATTGTCCGGGGTTAATTCCTCTAGTTTAAAGTAGTCGCATATGTTTATTTACGATTGTGGCAAACGTGGAATAATCCTCATTATCGCCCTTTATCAGGTTAAGGCATTTCCACCTCTTGTGGAAGAGTGATGTTTTCGGGCTTAAGAATTCTTTAAGACATGTCACTGCTTCGTCAAATGTTAATTCGTTCGTCTTTTTTGGCAAGATATAATCCAAGAACTTTGTATATTCTTCAGTTCCTAATTTTCTAAGCAATAGACGTATCTGTTTTGCTTCTGTCCAATTTTGACAGTCGATGTTAAAGATGTCTTCATGTCCTCTGAAGCAATCTCCAAAATTTTTATCCTCATCTAGAGAATATTTGAAAATCTCTATGGTATTCCACACTGCGTCTTGCGAAAAAGCTGCCTCTTTTTCAATATCTAATTGCTTGTTACCCGCTACTTTCAATATTAGTTCTTGGAGATCCTTCTGCTTTTGTAGCAACTGCTTTTGCCATTTTTCTTCCATTCTTTCTTGTAGTTGTAATTGTTGATCATTTTGGTATTTTACCAGTTCTACCAAAATAATTTTAAAATTTTCCATTATAACTCAATTTTACGTATTTTTACTCTTCGTAACTCTTTGTCGCCAATTGGTTGTGGACGAAGAGGAAAAAATTTTTGTTGTTTGTTCTTCCTGTGTGAGTTTAAATCGCTCGTCGCCAATTCGTTGTGGACTACAAGGGAGAAGTTTTTTGTTGTTTTTCTTCCTGTGTGAGTTCAAATCTCTCGTCGCCAATTTGTTGTGGACTACAAGGGAGAATTTTTTGTTGTTTTTTCTTCCTGTGTGAGTTCGAATTTTCGTCGCTAATTTTTGTGGATTCCGAGATGCAATCCGATCTCAAATGAATGACAAACACAGGGATGAAATATAGCAAATAAATGTATTGACGCAATAATACAATTGGTAATACGGTTAGTAGATCCAGATATGCGGTTAGTAGCAATAATAATATATATATATATAGTGTGGGAAATTCAGTATCGAAGTAGGTCTTACTTCTGAGTCTACGTGCTCGCAACTTTAACACCTACAAAGCGGTTACCTCACTTTCTCACTGTATCACTATCAGTGTATCTCTCTGACCGTCACTCACTCTATCTGTCGAGTCCACTTGTATAAAAAAGGGGTGGACCCCATAACATATTTGTAAACGAAAACAAAAACAAATAAGCAAAGATTACACACATTTCACATAGTTAAAACTCTTCGTAATATGTGAAATGTACTTGTGAGTACAAATTTTTGTATTTCTTTAAAGCATGGCTAACTAGGAATCCCTTCAATGAGTTTATTAGAACTTTTCTCCAATCAATCCGAAGGCTCCAAATACAACTGGAATTATTGATGCCATCATATACCACATTTTTGAGATTTCCACTTCAAGATTCTTGTATTCTGATAATTTTTGAAGATCTTCAAAGATATATGAAATCTGCAGGAACTGCTTTGTCATTAAGAAAGCACTTCTCTTTTTGTGGTCTTTGATTGATCTGTGTGGTTAGCATTGATTGTTCTGACAGTGTGTATTTTAAAGTCCCAAAAACCTGTTACAGGCCCTATCTTTCTTACCGCGTATAGGCGATATTGATACCATTTTATTGCAGTTTCCTTCCCGTACAAGTTGCATATTTACGTGCAGATATTGGCGAGGGAGTAATGGATAGAGGCACGAAGTGAGGCATTCCAGTCGAATCCATTTAACTTACGTGCTAATACACTTGGGAAAGGTATGAATCATTTTTATCCCCCCCCACAGCTATAGGTTAGTAGCAGGACAGACCGGGTCTATAGGTTTGCATGGCAATTGGTCTACCGCTGAAAGAAATGGCAACCTACAGCAGGAAAAAAATCTGCCTCGTCAGTCATGTATCGAAAGATACAAGATCGCGTAAGCGTGTGTCACGTATGGTACTTAACTGACTGATCATGGCAAGTTTTATATACAGTGGGTGTTAACACA